CCCCCCCCCCAGGCAGCATGAAACAAACAGAGATGAGCCGTTTGTCTCGTGAAGACGACAACAGCAGCACCAACAGCAACGACTACAACTATCCAGACTGCCCGAGGAAGGTCCCGCTTAATGGGTGAGGAATACTTTCAAAACGCAACAAATAAATCATATCCAAGCATCTGTGTAAATGAAATGTCTTTTTTGTGGGGGGCGGTGTCCTTTAAAGGCAATTCCCGGACTTAGATGCGGAAAGTGTGAACTTCCTCTCGGGCAAAAACTCTGGCAAGAAGAAGTATGAGACGGAATATGTAAGACTCATTTCTGACTTTTCAATGTTAAAAGCTAAGAATCCACGTTTTGGGTTTTTTTTTTTCCTAATTTTGGGAGGTTTTCTTTCCTTCCACAGATCCAAGGCAATGCCTCCTTTGGCATGTCCGTCTTCAACCTGGGCAACGCCATCATGGGGAGCGGCATCTTGGGTCTGTCCTACGCCATGGCCAACACTGGCATTGCGCTATTTGTGTGAGTATCTGACTTTTCTAAACTCTCTTTTTTTTTTGCCATTAAAAGTAGGAAATTACATTTCATGTAAGCTTTTTTTTTTTTTTTTGGAACTACGGTTTTCGTAGGCGTCAAGGTCACGGCTCAGTGCAAGTGCAGGTGCTTGACTCTGAGAGCACAGATCAGTGCAAACGTGTGTAACGATGACTCACGATCATGTTTGCACAAGATACAATTTTGGGAAACGCACCGTTGGGACATCTCGTTTTGGATTTGAACAAGCAGGGAGAAGCAGCGTGTTATTTCCTCGTGCGTGGATTTACAAACAAAGGGAGTGGCCACATCTCGAGCACGGGCTAATCCGGTTGAGAGAATGAATGCGAGTAAAGGCGGCTATCTGTCAGGGCGTGGTGTGGCAGGGATTACAAAAAAGTGGCTGATGCAATAGGATCAAGCGTGCTATATAACAGCAGGTGCAAATACGGTTGCAAAATTCAGGGAGGAAGATTCAAAGTTGCGACCTTTGGTTTTGAAGGTGATCGATGCCGGATTTGCATTGGAACTGGGAGCGAATGACTCGGATGACTCGGGAAATTTATGACAGTGCTTGTGAAGCTTGTGACAAAAAGCACCACCAAAAAAAAAATAATAATAATAAAAAATTATTTTACCAACTACAAATACTATGGCCCATGTTATAATGAAGTAGTGTAGTAGGCCTAAGCGCTCATCAAAAATTTGATGTTTCATACCCAAGAGCATGACCAGACAAAAATTTGGAGACACTTCTCCATTCAACAGCATGAGACGCTGTTTCAAAACGTATCACTTTTGGGTATATTTAATATCACTGTTTAAGCCACCGTACCATTGAGCACAGTTTGAATATTGACAATAGGCTTCATTGTAGGAAATAATTCAATTAAAATGCATTGCACATCAAAGTTCAAAATAAATAAATAAATAAATAAATTGGACCTTAATACAAGTTTAATATCAAACAGTTCCAAAACGTAAATGTTTTGGACGAAAAAGTTAAATACAACTGAACTGCTCTTCAATTATTCAAGAATAATGATTATTCTTTGGCGAACCACAAGAGGGACCCAAACTCCCACTAGTGGTATTAGCAGCGCACTTTAAGAAGCACTGTTTTCGTGTAATGCTGACTGGCTTCAGATCTGCTCCCGCTTGAATCAAGTGAAAAACGAAATTGACCGAGTACGGCAATGCCCTGGTATGCGGGCAAGGAGAGGTATCTATTTCGCACTGAGGTCCAGCTTCACTTCCCACGGAAATTTACTAGAAAATTTCCACCCCTTGCGCACAATCTAAAGATGGTCACGTCCCACTGGGGAAGCTGTGCCTTCTCAAGTGACCTGTAGATTAATTTCCATATCCTATTAATACCTCCGGGGGCACATGAAGATGCGCAAGAGGATACCAATACGGGAAGACTCTAGCGATGCTAATATGACTCACTGTCGCCACCCTCGAAGGTCTACGCCGTATGATGACGCATAAATCGAAATTAAGAACAAGCCAGAGTCACGCAAAAGATACTAAAATAGATGTACGAACGCATAGAAAAATTTTTTTTAACCCATCGCGCTAAATATCTCTTTCCAGCATCCTCCTTGTGGCCGTCGCCATCTTCTCGTTGTATTCCGTGCATTTGCTGCTCAAGACGGCCAATGAAGGAGGTGAGTCCGTAGTGCGCAATCCAGACGTCACACCCCGACCAGGTTTTTTTGTATTTTTTTTTTTTTTAACTCCGCCTTCTCCGATTGTCTTTCCAGGTGCGCTGGTGTACGAGCAGCTGGGCTACAAAGCCTTCGGGATGCCCGGCAAATTGGCCGCTTCCTGCTCCATCACCATGCAGAACATCGGAGGTGAGCGTCGTGGCACAATCACCGTCTTAATGGCGTCGGGGAAAAAAAAGGAGTGCGGGTGGGGTGAGGGGGCAGCAACTTCCAGGAATAACTTGAGTCACTCCGCAAGCCTGTGCCAATTCCGCGGAAAATCCGATCATGTGGCAAATATTTGAGCACGCTAAATGCGTCTTGGAATCCTTTCACTTGGAGGCTACATTTTTTTTTTTGAATGCTTTATTTTTATCATTGCAGCCATGTCAAGCTACCTCTACATCGTCAAGTACGAGCTGCCCATTGTCATTCAGGCTTTTACAGGAAGTAATGGGTGAGTACATTTTTTTTTCCACAGTTTGGCACCAAAAACCACACACCTAAATTTAGTTCATTATCATCAGCTATTGTTTCGAAATATATTTTTTTTAAGTGGAAGAGCAGGAATCAATATGTTCCTGGCACAGGTAGAAAAATATACTTGTTTTTTTACAGTAAATTAAAAAAAATTAATGATAATTTAAAAAACAATGACCCATTATGTGAAATTAGACAATTTCAACATCATGGTTCGGAATCACGAATCGAGCAAATCCAGTGAATTTCTACACCACTGCCGATGTAGACGTCATCAAAACTGAACAAATGGAACAATCAGGCAAAATGCTGCTTTCTCCCAGATGAACTAATTTATAAACAGAAATGACGAAATATTAAAACAGGTGAAAGGACAGCTTGTGCGCACTTTAAGGTGAAGGGGGCACATGGCTAAGTGGCAGGAGGAGCGGCCTCTTTCCAAGTGGTCCTTCAAAGAGCCCTTTTAGTCATCCGCAGCTGCTGCCGCATGGAGACAAGGGCGTGTGTGTGTGTGTGTGTGTGTGTGCGTGCGTGCGTGTGTGTGGAATTGGCTGGCTCACTCGGCGCAACCTTGCCTCGCAGCCACGTCATTTTTTGCTCGCAGATGCATTTGCGTATGCATCTGGGGCACACGCCCTCTAGTGACACGTGAAAGAATTGCTGCCTAAGTACAGTTCAGTTGTATTTCACTTTTTAGCGCAATCCAGTTGCGTTGAAGGTTTAAGATCAATTCCTTTTTCATACTGGAGGAAATGGTGACTAATGTGTTTGTTTTTTTTCTGTGTTTTCCAGTGAATGGTACACTAACGGAGACTACCTGGTGGTGCTTGTGTCACTCTTCATTATTTTGCCCCTTTCGCTGCTCAGGAACTTAGGTAAGTATCATTACCAAATTGATGAAACCAAGTCGGCAGTCTACAATTTTTTTTTTTTTTTTTTTTTAAGCCGGTGATCTCCTTTGCTTCATTAGGTTACCTCGGATACACCAGCGGCCTGTCGCTCCTGTGCATGGTCTTCTTCCTCATTGTGGTGAGTAGAAAACGTAACGTTTCCCCATTCCACAGAAACCACATCTTTTGTTTCCAAGCTGGAAATGACATCAACAAAAGCGTTATTTATTACTATGACTCACACACAAAATGGCTTTGAACCTTTACACGCGGGTCATACCAAAAATAATGATTTGTTTCTGCAGGTGATCATCAAGAAGTTCCAGATCCCGTGCCCGCTTCCTGATATCAACGCTGTGAATGAGACATTGAGTAAACCCAACACCACTGTGTCTCCCAGCAACTACAGTGACGCCTGCACACCGAAATACTTTGTCTTCAACTCTCAGGTACAAAGGGGATAAACAAGTAAACCTACGTCGAGATTTTAGACAGGAGTTTTGAATATGCTTTTTGTTCTCACCTCCCTAGACTGTCTACGCTGTTCCCATCCTGACCTTCGCCTTTGTGTGCCACCCAGCTATCCTGCCCATGTACGAGGAGCTCAAAGAGTACGTTACTTTTCACGCCGAAAAACCACAGCTGCTCCCTTATCTGACCACATAGGTCGGTTTGTTCTTGTTATCAAAAATTGTTTAAAACATGGCCCTTTTTCTCTCCCGTCGGCGCAGCCGTTCCCAGAGAAGGATGCAAGGAGTTGCCAACGTGTCCTTCTTGGCCATGTTCGTCATGTACCTCCTGGCGGCCCTATTTGGATACCTGACCTTCAATGGTGAGTTGCTCCAGTGGGGTGAACACGGGTGCAGGCAACATATTAGCTTATACAGACGGAATTCAATTTGAAGGGGATAATGGATCACATTTCTTCGATTTGTAAAAGAACAAATCTTATTGACTGTAATTATAAAAGATTCATGGCCTGTTTTGACGCAACGCGGGCGTAAGGGACACAGTTAACTTCGCTTTTTTTGTTTTATTGTTTTGTTTAAGAAAGTCAATAGTGGAATATGCTTTCTGCAAACACTTGTCACCCCTTTTGCCCTTGAGAAAACCAGTTTTCCTAATTAGCAAGCTGGTCCACTGCACTATTTAAATATTATTAATGAGACTACGAGGACTGTTATTTTTAGCAGTATAAATTCTTCTTCCCTATTAATGCCCATATTCATTTCACTTAACGCATCACATTACGAAAAAGTATCAAATAAATTCCGTCGACATACATTTCGACGGATGAGCTAACGAGCTAGCGAGGCGACGTTTCTTCGCCAAGACACCACTGCGATAACAAATAACCACGAATATATAAATACTCCTTGTGTCATAATTATCTCATTGAATTCGTTTTAAACGCACTACCTCTAGCAATAATGAGTAAGTTACCAATCAAAGCGAACAGCCCCGCAGAGGCTAACGACACAAAACGCAGTCGAGCTTTCGCAGTGGAATCGGGGACTTGTGGATTCAGCTTTAAAGGTTCGAAATACCATTCAAACAGCGAGATACGAGTATAATAATGTATCCTACGGTGTAAACTAGAGTAGGACATAATGTATTTTTCAGCGCTTCAAACGGGAAGTTAATTAATGCCAGGCTAAACGTAACAAAAGGTCAACGTCCCAAATACCATACGTCCAAAGTTTAAGGGAAGCAGCCTCGTCAATCCAAATTAAATAAAACAACTATGACAGTGCAACCAGCCAGATTCCGAGGCAAATAGTTACGCAACAATGTGAAAATGGACACCTGATGCCAACATACGGCAGTACTATTTGCGTTCCTGTTCAACGCCGGGGAGACGGTACATAATCGCTCAAGCTGGTTATACAAGATAGAAATGTCTGCGGAGCAAAAAGCTCAAGTGCCGTCACATGTACTAAGAGCAGCAATGTTTCCTTACCTTTATTGCGCCAAGGTACATATTTTACTTGGGAAAACCCCACTTAACAAAAATGATTATCGAGCTTGATGATGATTTTAGTCATAATTTACCCACCCACGACTGTCCTATTGAGTTGAACGCCAAACATTTTCTGTTGCATCTACTGCCCTCTAGTGGAAGAGCATGGCATAGATGGACAGATACATGATTTTTAGCGAATGAATCATAGTTTTTGGATCAATTAAGTTAAAGTTGATAACTGATAACACTCTACAATGCGCTGCAAATGTTCAAGTGAGTGCCTTGCTTGTTTTGAAATATAATCAATGGTTTAATCCATACTCTATTGACTTTTTTTTTTTTTGTCTCTTTTACTACTCAAATAAGTATGTACCGGTATTATTAATGACATGCCGTAGAAGCCCATGGAGACGACCGTAATTAATCTTCCTATTTTGCCGCTTTCTCTTCCCCCACAGTGCACGTGGAGTCCGAGCTGCTGCACACCTACTCCAAGTTCTACAAATCCGACGTGATCTTGCTGATAGTTCGCCTGGCTGTGCTCACCGCCGTCACGCTCACCGTACCCGTGGTACTCTTCCCTGTAAGTGTCATTCTTTTTTTTTTTTTTTTAAAAAGTCAACTAAAACCTATTGTTCAGTTTTTGGACTACAGTGAACACATCTCATCTTCCTGCAGATCCGAACCTCCATCAACCAGTTCCTGTGCGCATCCAAGTTCAGCTGGGTCCGCCACACTATCATAACTGTAGGATTGTTGGCCGGTACCAATGTCCTGGTCATCTTCGTGCCCACCATTAGGGACATTTTCGGCTTCATCGGTGAGTTTTGGGGAAATAAAATACAATAAAGTACTAAGACAAAGAACGTCAGGAAAAGCCTACTCGAACATCTGAACTTCGTTGAAGTTTATCAGAGGCACTTTGAAAAGTGGGAGATGTATGCTGACTGATTTCCACTTAACATGAGTTGAAAATTATCTCACTTGTTCATTTTTTTTTCAATGAGTTGTTCGGGTCATAGGTCACGGGCAAGTTTGGTCTCGCATTTTATGCCACAAAAAAATCCAGGCGTTTGAGCAGTCTGTACAAAAATGACTTGAATATTGTAAATTTTGTACTTGTTGAATTCTAAATTTGTTTTTGCTTGCACAGGTGCATCTGCCGCAGCAATGCTCATCTTCATCTTACCCTCGGCTTTCTACATCAAACTGGTCAAGAAAGAGTCGATGAAATCCATGCAAAAAATCGGGGTAGGTTTGCAAATTTTCCTTCGTTGTTCCTTTATACGCCCGTGCAGCAACAAGCTCAACTGGATTTGTTTGTCTCTTCCTCACTCTCAGGCCACCGCCTTCCTCCTGTGCGGTTTCGTGGTCATGATCGGCAGCATGAGCCTCATCATCCTCGACTGGGTCCGTAACGCCAGCGCGGAGAACCACGACGGACACTAAGGGTTTGCCGGATTGAAGTCAACAAACTAATGAAGATCAAATTTTGGAAACAAAGACTTTTGATGCTTGGCTTTGACTGAGAGAGACTACGCCATTCCAAGAGAATGTATACCCGGACTTGTACAGTTTGC